CACTGAAATAAAGTGTTACCCATTTAATTTTAGGCTGTATAAAACAAACAATCTGTTCCAGAACCTTGATTTATTTCTATTTTTTTATCTTTTTTTTTTTTGGATGTTTTTATGCTATGCACAAAATGTAGTGGACAAATGCACACTTATATAAACACTCTTCCTGACAGTTTCACCTGTGTACAGGTGCATCTCAATAAATTAGAATGTCGTGGAAAAACAAGTTTCACAATTTGAGTTGAATTACTGAAATAAATGAACTTTTCCATGACATTCTAATTTATTGAGATGCACCTGTATACGAAGGCATGGTACATGTGTGGTACATTAGTGTATAATAAAGTACAATTACATTGTAAGTAAAATATGGTCTGATGTGCCGAAATGCGACAGTAAAGCAGAGTTTAAATACACACAAGGCGATGTTAAGTAGATCACTTGGGTATTCTTGGCAAATGTAAGTGGTTGTCAGAGTTTAACACATGCTGGTATATGACAGGATGCCTGCGGGCCTGTAGATTGTAATGTAAACATTATTACAGTGTCTGTGGAATTCAGCCTTTAATCCTGAAGCGAAAGCCATAACTGCTGAACAGAGTGCAGAAACAAAGAAAACATAAGGAGGCAGAGTGAGAGCGAGGCCGAGAGAAGGGCCCCTGTGGTTCTGGGGTCACGGCACTTTAATAGGGAAATGCTGATGCTGTCATTTTTAACACACTACATGAGGATCTGTCTGAACTGTTGGCAGGGATTGGGGAATGTCTGCTAAAGTCAATTTCATGTGCTGTGAATAATTATAACCTCTACTACAACAAAAACCTAAAAACTAAATTACCCTTAATTCTGTCAGGCAGAAAAATTAGCTTGTGTGGTCTTTTATGATGGTTAGTTGTTTATTTTATGACTTTATTTTAGTTGTTTTTCACTGCAATTTCCTATTGTCATTTGAAGGTTTGATAGAGAAAAAAAAAATTAAATGAGACTGAGAATGAGATTTTGTGATTATTTTTACATTTTTCTAGTGAATCCTAAAGTCATTATTCTAGCAAGATGAGGGTGGTTGCTAGAGCATTGATAAGACATTTTTGGTTGATGGTGGACTTATTGGTCCAATTCAAAGAAGCTCAACAACAAGACTTTTTTCACCTGTTTTATCATTCACCAGGTGAAAACTCTAACCGGGCTCAACGCGAAAGATTTTGTCTACTGGCCCGGTCAGGCCAGGTCGGGCCAGTGGTTAAATTCTTGCTTGCCCTTTTACTTTGCTTTACTTGCCAACATTTTCATTGTCCCTGCCACAAAACAATTGAATATTTATTGTTTTTGTTGTTTTTGACCCATGTTATTTATCTTGTATTCTAATAAATAAGCTTACAGTATGACACCAACATTTTAGATACCAGTTACATTTTACAGTTCTCGCTTCCAATTACCACAGCAAAAACTACTAGCCTAAACAAGACAAGTGGACAGTCAGAACTAAAATAAGAACAAATAAACAAATGACAAGCAACAGCACAAATAAATATAGAACAGAATCACTTTAAGACACACTGCATGGATCCAATATAATAATACATATCCGATTTCTTTCTCAACTCTTTGTGTTCCCTTAAAGGGGTCCAATTATGCTCTTTTACAAAGACTTGATTTTGTTTTGGGGGTGTACTAGAACAGGCTCTCATACTAGGTAGTTCGAAAAACATTATGTTTCACATATTTTACATTATTACAACACCTCTCTCCCCAGTCTGGCATGAACGGCTCGAATAGTTCCTGTATCAAATGAAGGCCCGCCTTCTGAAATACGAAATGTGCTGTTATTGGTTAGCTGGGCCAGTGTGTGTTGTGATTGGGCACCACTCGGCACCTGGTCGGGAAATGTCAGGCCCCTTACCATAGCCACCTGCCAGCTTCAGTGTAAATATTGCGTCAAAATCAAATCAATGTGAGCATGATTTAAACCCGGATGATTGTAACCACT